TAGTCCATCCTGGATGAGAATACTTTTTGAAAGGCAAGGCTAAGTTATAATGAATAACAATGTGAAGCATATTCACATCAATGCTGGAAGATGCAAATATCAATCCTTTATTTAGCTTTGCGAGGTAAGGTAAATACAGCTAACAAAAGTATCAAGTTTATCAGTCAGGAGACAAGATAAAGGATCTATTGCCACAAAGGCCCCTTGTACAAATGTTTAGTCAAGTTGATTATCTTAATGTGCTATAAATTTTTAACAGAATTATAGGTTAAAGATTTAAAATTATTGAATCGACTATAGACAAATCAGATTTTCTAGATAGTATTGTGTTTTTTAATAAGCATAAAAGCGGAGTTTGTATTATATATCTCAGTTAAAAGCTAGGCCACTGCACAAGAAGGCATGGAGGATTTGTCAGACAATTTAAAAATATAAACTCGTGGATATTCAACTGCCAGCCAAATGTACATCCATAGAGGAATAAAATAATCACGGTCACGATTAATATAATTATTTTATAGAAATAGGTCTTGCATATCCATATGTAAGATTATTGGATAATATACAAGAGTCGATTTATTTTAAACAAGGCAAAAGATAAAAATAGTAAAAGATGTAATATAATCTTTAAAATGCAAAAAGAATTCTTGGACATTTTAATATTAATTTATTGAGCAATTACTCTTGTCCTTTATATTCGAGATTGAGGTATCATTAGTTTTCTATCTAACTGAGTAGAACCAAGTTTCATGGGACCCGAAGGCTGCATGGTTCTGTATTTGCAAATAATCTCTTGGCAAGCAATCATTCTTATTCCTTCGTCTTACAATTTAGTTCACATAGCGAATATAGCAACAACTAGATAGATTTAAAAATAGCTTTAATAATAAACGTATTGAAAAATGTAGTTAAATAAACCGACCTTAGCATGAATGAACTGGTTTCGGGTTATCTCTAGAGTCGAGAATTGGCATTGATCACGATCAATCGGTCGTCCCCATTCGTCAAGTCGACAGCAAGACAAAGGCATATTTGGTATTCCAGTTGGCGGACCGGATAGAGTGTTAGAAGGAGCATCTGAAAAATGAGCGGCTAATCGTTTCTGCCAGTTAGAGCCCATATAGACATCAATGTGATGATCAGAAACGCCACAGCATTGAGCCTAGTGAGTAAAATATAAGATGTGAAGTTGTAGTGCGGTTAATCTTCCTTTGGAGTAACAGTACGAGAATAATTAAAGAAAAATCGTACTCTTGTCATATAATCACACTATGCATCTTGGAAATCGTTCCTAACTATCTCTCACTCTTATTGGGGTACCCTCCAGAATAGTTGTTTTTAGCTTTTAAATTTGTTGTATACCGTTTATATTTAGTCTTTCATAAACGGGTAGGTGAAGCATGCTAAGATCCCTCCTAGTTTTTGCAATTTGATGAGAAAATATCATTCCGATTAAGTCAATGTGATAGTATATCAAGTTTATTTGCAAAAATTAGAGACATAATACGGAGAGGGAAAATTATTTAAGTTTTTAGATACTAAATCTCGAATCAGGCATGATTTGAGTCAAATTCTCATCCCGAAAGATTTCCTGATACTACAAAAGACGACAGACAAAATGGCGCAAATGATATCAGACTTAAACAAAAAAAGGCACCATAAGAGGCTGAATAAATATGGAATCTATAGGCAGCTCAAGGTCCAACCATCTGGTAAAACTGAAGATGCCTCTAGGCTGACAGGTCTCGAAGTGCAGACAAGAAATGAAGATAAGGTAATGAATATATCTTCCGTCTCTCTTGATCTGTAAACCACAGAGATCATCCAGACGAGAATAAATTTTGCACTTCGGAATAAAAGGAAGACAATCAAAAACATTTTAGTGGAGGTGATAAATACCTCTAAAAAGCTACCTAAAAAAGCAAAAGGAGAGCTGGATATGAACAGAAAGGAAAAGAAAGAGAAAATTGAAAATATTCTCAGAGACAGTACAACGTATCGACTACTAACAAAAGACGGACTATTGGTGAGCTATGATGCACAGTCCATGTACACTAACAACACAGAGGAAAAGGAACTCACCGCACTACTGGAGGTCTTGGAAAAAGAAAATGTCATCCTGAAGACAAAGCGAATACATAGAGTCTCTAACCAGATTAATCAATCTAACAATAAGAGCGACCTATTTCACGTTCAACGGCCGCATCTATGAGCAACTAGTTGGTCTGTCTATGAGCTCACCACTCTCACCTCTGTTGGCTAATGTGAGGAGGGAGAATTTCAAAATGTCAAACTTTCTGTGGATGTGGAAGAGAACGAAAACTTACCGTTTTTGGATGTAGAGGTCATTTACTCCAAGGAACCTCTAGAGAAAAAACTTTTCCGAAAGAAATCACGTTAGAAAAACTCTTAACTTGTAGTCTAACCATACTTATGGGACTAAGATTGTAATATTCCTGAGTATGATCATAAGAAGCTTACGATTAACTGATTCTGAGTTCTGGGAAGAGGAACTGGGAAAACTAACTAGGATGTTTCTTGAAAACGGATATCCAGAATAAGCAATACAACGCAACATACAGATGATGATGAATAGA